TTGAAGAGAGCACGATCTTAACTCTTAGGGGGGCGGATTTGTGGTTAGGATAGGAGTATACCTAGTCACCGTGCTTAATTAAATATCATAATCTTAATGCGTTCTTAATAGACCGATTTCATAGGAATATAGGCGTTAATCTATTTTGAATAGGCGCGTAGTACTTCGGGAGAAGGCTACGAGAGCAATTATCGATTAATTAGCAACCATGAGTGAATTGTATGAGAGGAAGAGTTAACTAGAACACAATATGATTGGTGAATCGATCACAACCCTGGAATATTTGTCTCTATTGAATACATAACAATCATTTTACTGCTCGATAAATTAGTTATTACTTAGAATTATAATTTAGTATAATCACATTTTTGAACTTGATTTTAGCTTGACTAAATAACAATCTTGGTGATTTTAGTGGGTAGTTGATACAAGTCTCTCTGGGTTCGACACACAAATTTTGGTTCAACACGGAATGAAACGAAATCTTGTAGGATTTATAGGATTTAATATCAGACTAAACTAAATCAAAAATATATATATTTATTTAGTCGATCTAATCCGATTTTTCATTTTGTTTGAACATCCTCTAATTGAGCTTAATAATTAAATTAGAAAAATTTAACAGAAAAAGAAGATAAAGAGACTAGTGAAAAACTTATACCCCAAAGATTAGCGGGTAGCGGACCTCAAACAAAAGAAAAAGAAATTGAGCCACTAGAAAAAGGGGATAAAGAGAAGGAAAAAAAAAAAGAAGCAAAACGATAATAAACAGAATTGAAAACGAAACAGAGGTATGTTTTGTGGCTGAAATTGAGCAATGGAAGCTCTTCTGGGAAGCTCTCATTCTTCAGCCTCTGTATCTCCGTCATTTATCATCACTAGCAGCTACAGAAGAAACCCCACCTTTGCTTTTAAGGTATATATGCATCATTTTTTGGTCTTAGTGGCCAAATTTTCACTAGTTGGTGTTCTAGATTTCATTAATTTCCCTGTCAGTTTCAATTTATATGAAATCAGAGGCGGATTCAATATTTGAACCTTATGGGTTTGGGATACCACTAAACCACTGATCATTTGAGTTACTGGTTCGAAATTTTGATATTGTACATTTTTAATAGATTTTTTAACACTATACAGGTTTGAGTAAAGATACTGAGTTTGGATAAACCCATAGATTATACTATACATCCGTCCCTGTATATGATAGCGTTTGACTTGATAGAGTTTAAGATATAATTCGACTTTGTGTATTATAGTAATGGTAGTGAAGAAAGATATTAAAGTAACGCTCGATAATTTTAGTTTGATAAAAAGAAAGTTTTGAAATGTAAAAATGAATTTGGCAGAGGCAAAAAGCTAGTGATTACACAATCAATGAAATGGTGTAAAATGTTTTGAGCATCTCGAAATGGGAAGAGTGTAATATAGATTAGAACAGAGAGAGTTCGTTATTTAAGCAATTTCTAATGAATTGGGAACATTGAAGTAACATGGAAATCCTTGTTTCATTTTGATTAGTAAACCTGTATACTTAAGTATCTTAAAGGTTTTTGGACCCAATAATTCGAATAAAGGTTGAAACTTTATAGTGTTTGTCATTTTATGATAATCTCAAGATATTTTGTATCAAATGAAAATATAGAAATTGCAAGGCTCTTGTGATTTGGAATCAAATGGGAAAACATTACTCAAGAGGTTTGAACCAGAGAAGTCAAATTGATTGCCTCGTTCATTCATCAATATCAATCAACTACACCTCAGCTGCAAACTAATTGGGGCATGCCATATGAGTCCTATATCCATTCCACTTGTCTTTCTCGTTTGTCTAAAAGCTACTTGTCTTTCTCTTTTGTGTTTTTGGTGCAAAAATTCAAACAATGTACATGACATAGATAGTCCAATGGACTTCTTCAGTAACCTCGCAGATTTGCATAGAAACTAACTGAGATTTGTAATGGTTCTTGTGAATCCTTATAGAACAAGCTTAATGCTACGTCTAATCAATAAAACCTTTTGCTTAATTTCTCAAAGATCATATTTTAAACATCTTGCAGGTGCTTTCGTGGAATTCTTTGTACAGTGGAAGTAATAACTCTCAACTATATCCTCCAATATTGTGTCTTAAAAAGAGTGGCAATGACAACTCTGGAAGTTGCTCTCCTTTATGCTACATTGAGCAAATGTGCAGAAACAGAATGTTTTCTCAGCCAAACTGGAGGCATAGCAAAATATTCATTGATAAGCAACCTTTGCTGGTTATACAAAATGGCTTAGCTTTTCTACCAAGAAAATTGAAAACCAGTTTCCGCAAAACAGTAAAGCATTCAGAAATATTTAGGAATATAGTACCTGATATATTTGTTCGGTCCTGCATTGGACTAATGCTGGTTATGGCAGTTAATGCTGCTGTTGTGAAAGCTCCTTCTTGTAAGTCTGTCAGTTTGATGGATTATATCAAGCTTTTCTATTTTGTGAGACTCAATTATTGGAATATAAGTGATGGATCTCCTATTTCCTTCCCATTTTACAGTTGCTCTCACCGAAGAAAATCTGCTTTTTTTGGAGGCATGGAGAACAATTGATCGTGCATATATTGACAAGACCTTCAATGGTCAAAGTTGGTTTAGGTACAGAGAAGATGCACTACGGAATGAACCAATGAACACTAGACAGGAAACATGTAAGTTTTGCCCTTTTTGTGGTAATCTTTCGGTGATTATCTGCATGAACTTTTGCAAGAATACCGGGGATCTGCTATGTATTTGCACTGAAGCTTCTAATTGAAAAGGAAGAATTCATTGTTATGAGTAGCATTGTAGAGGACTAGAGTGTGCAATCTTTATAGAAGGGGACGGGTATTAGTTAATCATACAAACATGTATAAGAAGATGTCGCTTAGCAAGATAAAACCAGGCACATGTTTGTATTTCTTTTTTGCGGACAAGATGCTATATTTTGCCCATTGGTCAAGGTCACCTGCATGCTGGACTAGTGTTTTTGTATCTTGAGTTCTGAATCGGAAAAGGGTCTGATATATCCTTGTACTATGGTAAATTGTTTAAAATTGTCCCCCGTTATACTATTGGGCCATAAAAGTCCCTACCGTCCAACTATCCTAACAAATCTGCCCTTACTTTGACGGAAGTGCCACGTGGCATCCAGCCTTGCCTCTTTTTAAATCTGGGCACATAAGAGACGACCCGCTCCAACTATACCAACCAACCCATAACCCATTTATAAACCAAATAATATCCTAAAGCCACTGACCAACGATTTATAACCCAATTAAACCACACTACTACTACTACTACTACTACTACTACTACTACTACTACTACTACTACTAC